TACCGAGTGATGAGTAACAATGAAGTGCCGGTTGGTGTCTTTTAGAATATTTCGTACACTTTAAGTACAAAATTCCAATTTTTATTTTTTATGCTCTTTTTAATCACTAATGTACTATTTAGTACATTTCGTACACATTTAGTACAAAGTAGATCAATAACAATATTGTACTAGTTTGTACCTTTCAGTATTTTCCGCACTCTTAAAGTAGGAGTCACCCCCATGCATCGATCGATGGATCGATCGATTAACAACTATGCTGTACTATGTTGTACTTTTCGTACCCTCAAAATACGAAAAAGTCCTCTACACTAGGGGTGATTCCTGTTAAATATCCCAATTTAACCCTTTTATCGATCAATAATAAGATTGAACCGTTCTACCCATTTCAATACTTTACGTAGCCAAAAGTTCTAAATATTCCGCCTGATAAAAAGTACCGCCTACACACAAAATTTCAAAGTTCTGCGTCTTACCGATGCAGTAATAAAATTTTTAAATTTTCTTTGAATAATTTTCGTATCACTAAAGTAGGATTTCTCAAAAATCCACTAAGAGTTGGAAAATTTCAAGATTCTAGCTTCAGACGTTAATTGGTCAGGCAGTCAGTCAACTACCCTGTTATTTTATACATGTCGATAAAAACTTATTCTGTGGCAAAAGACAAAGGGTCTAAGTAAGAATCCAGTATTGGCACACTCTGTTTGCATCACCACATTTGCAAATCTCTTCCATAAAGGTCAACAAGTCCTGTCAGTGGTGTCGCCTAGAATCATGCCAACACCCTTACTTCTATTGCCTTTACTGCTTGTCCATAAAATATCACTAACTGGTGGTATAAAATGCTAACTTTTGTTTCATAAAAACTAATATATTTTATTGTAAAATCCGATACTTATCTCCGCTGTTCTCACATAATTTGCAACAATCCGAGAGCGAGAGATAGAGAAAACGCCAACTCATAGCATAGTTTGTTTATGGTTAGCCCGTTTTACAGCGCAGCTCTACCACACCCACATTCTTATTCGCAACATTTTTACATCACCATACATAGACAATGTCACCACGGAACGACAAATATGTTGGACTTCCAACTCCAACACAACCAGCATTTATGCATACCAAAGCGATTCGGACTGGCCAAGTGACATCATTTCCCTTCTGTCATGTCTTGGCGACAAAATAACAAAATCCAAAAAAAAATCCAACAACATTCAACACAACATCATTGCTAATTATAAGTTTGATCTTATCATGAAAATGTAACAAGACAAAATTATGTTATAATTAAAAGAAACAAACAAAGGAAGTATGATGATGTAAAAAATGAAACAACAAAGCATAAAGTGTAGACAAGTGACCAATGGCTGTGAATTTTTTATTATTGTAGAATAGTTAGGTGACTCTTTTTTCTATTTTGAATTTTTATATGCTTAGCATACGAACTTATAAATTTCTATAAATTGTATCCAGCGGCAGGAGTCCGAGTCGTAAAAACAATTGTCTATGTCTAGTTTGGAAATTGTTTGTTATGATTAAGATATATCATGTTGATGACGCATTCTGATTTTGTTATGGATTCTATAGAAGTTATATGAAATCTGAACCGAAAATGATACCGGGAGCATGTTAATGCTAAGAGGGACTTACAACTACAGAATTCGTCTGAATACTATATAAGGGCATAATGACTATATCTGAACCGATTTTCTTCAAATATAGCACGCTTACCTCTATGACGTGTACATATTTTGTACGCAATAATCGTGAAGAACAGATGCAGTTGTGTATGGGAGTTCTATCTACATCTGAGCCAATTATAACACATTTCAAAAAAAATTCGTCCCGGTTTTTCGAAAACCCCGATCGTAAATATTTATACCCTCCACCTTGGAAAGGAGGGTATGTTACTTTGTTTGTAACATCCCTAAATATTCGTCGTAGAACCCATAAAGTATATACAGAGTGAGATAAAAAAAACTTGCAACAAAGTTAAACACCATAATTTTTACATTTGTTTTAAATTTTGTTGACCTCTGACCTCTTTAGCAAGTAAACACGATTATTTTGTTTGTTTACAAACTGCTGGACAACGAATCTCTTCTCATCGGGTGGCTTAGGAATGACCGCAGTCTGAAGTTGGTTGAAGTTTTTTCATCCCACCCTGTATATTCATGATCAGAATAAAGTTCAACGTCGATTTAACAATGTCCGTCTGTCAGTCTGTCTGTTGGAATCACGATACAACCCACATTATTTGAATTTATTTTGCAGAACAATCCACGTTTTTATATTGCGGCCATATAACGGTACCTCCCGATATTCGATATTTTTCACGGGTTTGTCTTAAAATTGGTATTTGTAGGTCAAAATGGGTTCTATGTATCCGGTAGCGAAACATTGTGTATATAGGTTTTCGTATTGCCCCCATATAACGGTACCTGCCTATTTTCCGTATTTTGATGATTTTAGCGACATTATCTACCTAAATGGCTTCAATTTTCGAATTTAAAGTTCCAAGTTGGTACTATAGTCTATTACAGAGAATTGTCTATGCATGTCTAGGTCTTTTTATAGAACCCATATATCGATACCTCCCCATATTCGGTGTTTTGATGATTGTAGTCAAAATTTTCAAAGGAATTGTCTGAATACCCACAGAAAGAGTTCCATCTGAGTACTTTACCCCCCTGGTCTATATAGGTCCACGATATCGCATACCCCCCATATAAGTGTACCCCCCGATATTCAATATTTTGATGATTTTAACGACAGTATTTATCGAAAAAATTTTAAATTTCGTAAGAGGTACGTCAACATATGAAAGAAAATTATTTATGCAGGTCCACTTCTTTGTACAGCCCACATATAACCATTTTCATTTGAGAGGTTTTTATTTATTTTTTTATTTTTGAAAATTTTCTAGTTCCTTCCCAATGTTGGAAGATGGAACTTAGCTTCTTTTTTACTTGTTTCTACAAAGAGCGACTCAATTTTTATTGTGTATTGGATGGTTTGTATTGAAAATGAGATATATTGGTCCTCGTTTTGGTATAGCCGCCATATAACGGAACCTACCTATATTCTATAATTTCATGATTTTCACCATTGGCCACATTTTTCACGGATTTGTCTAAAAATTGGTATTTTAGTTCATAATGGGTTCTAGCTCCGGTGGCGAAACATTGTATGTATAGGTCCACCTTTTTGTATAGCCCAAATAACGGTGTCTCCCGAGATTCGATATTTTAATGATTTTTGCCACATTTTTCCACGGATTTGTCAAAAAGCTGGTATTTGTAGTTCATAATGGGTTCTAACTCTGGCAGCAGAACTTTGAATATATAGGTCCACATTTTACTACAGCGCACATATAACGCTTCCATCAAACCTTCGGTATTTTGAAGATTAAAGCCGAATTTTCTAATACATTTGTGTGAAATTTGGTATTTGTACTTCATAAGGGGTTCTACAACCGGCGTCAAAACATTGTCCATATTGGTGCTAGTTTTCCTAGTCACATTTACCACGAAATAATGTAAAATTTGGTATTTAAGAATCGCAATAGATCTATATACGCTCCCGTTTTAGTATGACACCCATATAACGGCTCCAACCATTCTCCTACCAATCTTACTGGAGTTTGTAGTTTAAAGTGGAACACGTTTGAATCCGGATACTTTTGCATAAAAATGTTTCCATGACCCAATGGTGGAGGGTATTTGAAGCTCGGCCTGGCCGAACTTAATGTCTGTTTACTTGTTGGTTCTGTATTTCTTCCTTCTCTCAAAAGTATTCAACGGATTTCAGCAACATTTTCCAACTAATGTTACGTAAGAAGTGAAAAATATCGTATATTTAGACTTCAAATTGAATTATTGGTCGACATTTTTACTTGTTCCATTTATTTTTCATATCCCTTTTATACCCCCCACCATATATATCATTCTGTTTGTAACTCATCGAAATAATAAGTTTAGACCCTACAAAGTATATATATTCTTGATCGGCGTAAAATTCTAAGACAATTTAGCCCTGTCCGTCCGTCTGTTGCAATCACAGCCAAAACGAATTAAGATAGGAATCTAAAATTTTGCACAGGTCTCTCTTTTGTCTGCAGGCATGTCAAGTTCGATGATATCGTATAGCCCCCCATATAACGGTACCCTTCGATATTCGGTATATTAAAGGTTTTAGCCAAATGATGCAATGGAATTATCTGAAATTCTACACAATGAGTTCTTTGTGAGTACTTTACCCCCTGAAGGATAATTGTCTATATAGGTCCACGACATAGTATCGCCCCCATATAACAGTACCCCCGATATTCGGTATTTTGAAGATTTTAGCCACATTTTTCAACGTAATTGTCTGAAATATTGCACAAGGAGTTCTTTGTGAATACTTCACCCCCACAAATAGATTTGTTTATAAAGGTCCACAATATCGTAAATTCCCCTATATATCGTCACCTTCCGATATTAGGTATTTTTAAGATTTTAACAGAATTTTTAATGGATATTATTTTTTGAAAATTTCCTAATTCGTTCTAAATGGTGGAGCGTATGCAAAGTTCGGCCCGGCCGAACTTACTGCTTTTTTACATGTTAAAACCTTGATTTTTTAAGATATAGGATATCGATTTTTATGATACCTAAAACACTGTATTTTTATGATGAGCTAATTGCAATTCGCATTAGAGTTAAATTGAATGATTTTTCAATTTAATTCCAAGAAATTACTTAAAAACTTTATTAAAGAAAAGTAGAAAAATTTCCCCTTCAAAAGAAATCAAATCATGTCTTCATTTAAAATACATAAATCGTTTGAACAATTAATCGGATTGTTGAATTCGAAAAAAAATAAATGAATTCATATTAAATTAGCATTTAAACATTTAAATGGCTCGAGTTTTGAGACATGCAAATATGGCTTAAAACCCACAACTTAGCTTTTTTCATGCCAATACTAATGAAGTTGTTATTTTTATTTCATTACAGATTTTGGAGCACGAAATTTTTTTGGATTCAAAACAAGCAGCTGGCAATAAACTCACTCACGCACTCGCATTGCAATTGGCATGTTCAACGTGAACGAACGTGAGACGAGTGTGAGCGAGAGCCCCCTATACAAAACTCAAAAAAAAAAACAAAATCATGCAGTAAAAATCAAATAACAAATTAGCCCTGCGTAAAAAACAAAACTATTGGAGCTGTTTGTTGTTGTTTTTTCTCTTCATGAGGAGCCAAATGAAAATCCCAAACACGCACATTTACAACAACATATTATTTTGAAAATAAAGTGAATAAACCCACCAAGTGAAACGCTACAAAACGGCAAAATCTGCTCTGGTCTATGGGCCAAATAGAAATTTTTTTGTTGAGCGAAATTTCAATTCAATACGGAACGTAAACAAGCGAAAAGGCCTACCTACGACGAGGAAGCAGGCAATTAGAAGCCAAGTGAAAACCTTTAATAACAAACGTGATTGCATTTCGAACAAAAAAATAATTAATGCCAAGAATACAAAATTATTGGGTGTTATAAAAGAAAGAAAATCAAATTTTTATAGAATTATCCAGAAGAAAATATTATCAGTTTTGTTTTTTTTTTTTTTGTTTTTAATTTTAATTGCAGAAGAAACAGCAAATTAACATCATAATTACTTTTCATAGAAATATGTTCATTATCTTTGCTTGCATGCAACATAGGCAGCAGCATCAACAACAGCAATCGCAATCTCAACAACTCCACCAACAAAACAACCCATCTCCATTCACATCGACATCATCGAAATTATCATTATTTTCAAATGTATTTGATTGTTTTCCCCAACGTTCAGTGCCTTAGAGAAAAAAAGAGAAGCAAACCAGTGAAATATTTGTATCCATAAAACCGAGTTGAGAAAAAAAAGAAGTGCAACCAATTTCGTTTAGTTTGTATTAAGAAAATTAAGTGTTTTTTGTTATTGTGAATATTCGAGCCATCCCTCTTTCTCTTCGCCACAAATGAATATGTATCGTCCAAATTTTTATGAATCAACGTGCCTGCGTTGCAACGAAACCGTTTATCAAGTGGATCGTGTAGGTCCTCTAAAGGACTTCACTTTCTTCCATTCGGGCTGTTTCAAATGCGTTCATTGCGGCACCAAATTGACACTGAAAACCTATTTCAACAATCAACACAAACAGGATGACAAGGAGGTGAGTCGAAAACTAAATTAATTTTTATTTTTTTTTATAAAATTTTCACGAAGCATATTGTGGAAGAAAAATGTGTGCCTTTAGTAAAAAAAATCTTTATAATACCAGCCTTATTCCCGCACCTAATATGTATAAATATCCTTTTTGGAACTCTATGTCGATTAATCTGTATTGGCTCCAACCTTTATCTGACTGGTTAAGCCATACAACTAATTTCAAAAAGGGGTACAAGAATTAGTCCAATTTAATATCATCATTTAAAGAAATAATTAAGCCGAGCCGCACTATAAATACTCTCCACAAGAAACGTATCAGGAATGCGTTTGGAAAGCTTTTCGGGAGCCTAAATAACGAAAAATTACTTCGGGCCTTGGGAATCCCTCCTTCGTATATTCCTGCTCCCATCATTTACAAATAAAAACATTTGAGTTCCAATATTCGAGGGCTACATGTTATGCAATTAAACCAGTAAGGACAGGTCAAAAGTCGGACGGGGCAGAATATATGATACTCTACACCACAAATTGTATTTAGTAGTGACAAAAATCATCAAATTACCGAATATCGGGAGGTACCGTTATATGGGGGCTATACCAAAACGTGGACCTATAATTTCAATGAATCGCCACACGAACTGGGACCCTTTATTATTTACAACTACCAATTTTCAGAGAAATTCGTGAAAAATTGTGTCAAAAATCACCAATATACCGAATATTGGTAGGTACCGTTATATGGGGACTATACCAAAACGTGGACCTATAATACAATGTTTCGCCACACTAACTAGGACCCATTATTACCCACAAATACAAATTTTTAGACAAATCAGTGAAAAAATGTGGCAAAAACCATGAAAATACCGAATACAGGGAGGTACCGTTATATGGGGGATTTACCAAATCGTGAACCCATACATGCAATGTTTCGCCACCGGAGCTGGAAGCCATTATGACCAACAAATACCAATTTTTAGACAAATCCGTGAAAAATGTGGCAAAAATAATCAAAATACCGAATATCGGGAGGTACCTTTATGTGGGGGCCATACCAAAACGTGGACCTATACATGCCATGTTTTGCCACACGCACAGGGACCCGTTATGACCTACAAATACCAATTTTCAAACAAATCAGTGAAAAAATGTGGCATAAATCATCAAAATACCGAATATCGGGAGGTACCGTTATATGGGGACTACACCAGAACGTGGACCGATATATCTCATTTTCAATACCAACCATCCTAGACACAATACAATTTGCTCTGCTAAGTTTTGGCGCTCTACGTCAAATAATGTGATTTCGTGATTTCAACAGACAGACGGACAGACAGACAGACAGACGGACATCGTTAAATCGACTTAGAATTTTATGCTGATTATGAATATATATACTTTATGGGGTCTACGATAAATATTTAAGGATGTTACAAACGGAATGACAAAGTTAATATACCCTCCTGTCCAAGGTGGAGGGTATAAAAATATTTAGTGAAGAAATAGATATACCGGAGCTAGTTTCACCAAATGGAAAAATTCGGTTGAATATGAAAAAATCTTTCCAATTTGGGCTGATCCACCAAATATATAGTGAACAATAACCGCAAAATCGGATGAAGATGTATATCGAAGCTATGTAAACATCTGAACCGATTTAAATAAAATTTGGCAGAGGTATTTTCGAGCTGGATCTGATGTCAAACATCTTTATTGTGGAGTGCATACTACGCACGTGAGGGACTTAAACAGCAAATTGGATATATATGTGTCATCCAATTTGCTGGGAGCTATAGATATATCTGAACCGATTTTCACCAAAATTTGAAATACTTGCTTCTGGGCTGAATTCCGTCGGAAGTGCCGTATTTGGGCTGATATTAGCCATTTGGTGCGCAATAAACCTGAAATCGGATAAGGACATATTTGGGAACTATATTCAAATCTGAACCGATCTTGACAATATTTAGGGCACTTGTTTATGAGCAGTATCTGATATCTGGTACCAAAGATCATTGATGTGGAGTGCATATTACGCATGCGAGGGACTTAAAACCCCAAATCGGATGAAACATATATATGGGAGCTATGGCTATATCTGATCCGATTTCCACCAAATTTTATGTACTTGTTTCTAGGATGAATTTGGTCAGATGTGCCAAAATTCAGGTAATTTGGAATATAAATCAACTAAGTGAAGTGATTCTATGAAGTTCCTCAAAAGTAACTATGGGTCTATCTCGCTTCCTTCTCTGTGTTACAAACAAATACAAAAAGACATAATACCCTTACTGCTGTGTGGTGTAGGGTAAAAACACGCATTAACAATCACCAATATGGGACTTTAATTGGAAGTGGCACGGTTACAAGATCCGACGCCACTGATGGTGGAAAATATCAACCTTCAGCCACATCACCACAGATATTAATGATGAAGCATACATAAGTCGACTTTGTCTTGAAGTCAAATTCAATTTTTCAACTTTTCGAAATCGATTTTGAGATCAAAGTCGATTTTCGGTTTAATAAGAAGTATTAAGTACATTTGGGCGCCATTAACTACTCACAAAACAGCAATCTAACGCCTTATTTTAACATGGATATGTCATTAGAAGATCTGAGCAGAGGTCCTTTTCTGAAGCCACAGGTGATGTATCACCGCAGATCTTAATGATTAAGGCTATGTGAATGACCCTTTTTGGGAATGGTCCGATCTCTACCATCTTTATAACAGATTTTGTGTTGACAAAAATATTGAAATGTGCCAAGTCTGAATGAAATAGGATGTTAATTTCGCGTTTTATGAGCTTCATTGATATTCATAATCTTTAACCTTTGTGGAGGAGGTACCAGTGGGTCTGGACCAATATATCCCATTTTCACAGCAGTGTTAGTAGAAATAATGGGATGTGTGAAATATGAAGAGAACCGGATGATTATTTCGGATTTTATAATCGTTTTGGTTATTCAAAACTTTGACCTTTGTGGGGGAGGTACCATAAGTAGTGGACCGATATGTCCCATCTTGACAGTAGACCTTGTGTAGCAAAAATATTTGTATGTGTGAAATGTTCAGAAATTTGGAAGATTTGTTCGTGTTTTATGAGCGTTTCGTTATTTTTTTTTTTTTAATTTTAAGCCTTAGTGGGGGAAGTGCCAGAAGAAAAGGTCTGATTTCTACCATCTCTATAAAAGATCTTGTGTTGATAGAAATATTGAAATGTGCCAAATCTAAATGGAATCGGATGTTAATTTCGCTTCATGGATATTCAAAATGTTGACCCTAGGTGTGGGAGGTACCAGCAGGAGTGGACCGATATATTACATCTTCACACCAGACCTTGGATTAATAAATATTGTGAAGTGTGTTATTTGAAGACAATCGGACTCATACATAATATTGTAAAAGAGTTATCATTATTCAAAATTTTGGCCGATGATGGCCACCGATATTAGCTATTTGCGCACATTTTCGCAGAGTTGGAGTAAAAGCGGATTGGCCTTTCTCTTTCTGTGCAGTAAAATATTTTTTTCAAAGTTCGACCTTTCGTGGGGGAGGTATCAGAAGGAGTGGGCCGTTATTGCCTATCTCTGAACTCGATCTAAATTTGATAATAATATTACAATGTACGAAGTTTGGACCAAATCGGATACTCCCTTCGAGAGTTGTCGTGCGCACCACCCAGCCAGGCAGACAGACAGACGGACGAACTTCGCTGAATCGACACCAAATGTCCTGAAACGGATTTGATACAAAAAGACCTGGGTCCTTAATCCGTCATTTCACTGAGGCACGTTTTGACCGTATCAAAAGATATATACCCGCTCTAGCCATATGGGTATAAGGGTATAAAAATGACTTTTGCTTATATAGTGTGAATATGAACAAGTTAAAAAGCAATAAGTTCGGCCGGGCCGAACTTTGAATACCCTCCACCATTTGAAACGAATTTGGAAATGCTCAAAAAATACAATCCTTAAAAAATTCTGTTACAATTTTAAAAATACCGAAGATAGTAGTTATATTGGAGTGTATACGACGTGGACCTACATTTGCATTGTTTGTCATAAACCATTGCCATATTCAAATTCGAAACTTGAATTAAACGGTCAATAATGTAGCTAAAATCATCGAAATATCGTATATAGGGAGGTACCGTTATATCGGAGCTGTGCGAAGACCTGGACCAACATAGACAATTTTCTGTCACAGGCTATAGCATCCATTACGATCTTCAAATACGACATCTCAAACAATTTCGGTGAGTATTGTATCTAAACTCGTTAAAATACCGAATATAGGGAGGTACTGTTATATGGGGCCACTACGAAGACCTGGTCCTACATAGACAATTTTCTGTCACAGACTGAAGTTCCCATTACGAACTCTAAATACATAATTTAAAACAATTCTGGTGAATAATGACGCTAAAATCATCAAAATACCGAATATTGGGAGACACTGTTATATGGGGGCTATATGAAAACTTGGACCTAAGACGTGGACCTGAACAGACAATTTTCTGTCTTAGGCTGTAGTATCCGTTTCGAATTTCAAATACCAAATTTGAAACAATTCCGTTGAATAATGTCGCTAAAATCATCAAAATACCGAATATCGGGATGTACCGATATATGGGGGCTATATGAAAACTTGGACCTACATGGCCCATTTATGAACTTAAACTGCCTACTGAAAAAAATAAACATGTGTGCAAAATTTTAGCCTTCTATCTTGATTCGTTCGAAAGATAGCGTAATTGCAACAGACGGACGGACAGACGCTAAGTCGACTTAGAATTATACGCTGATCAAGAATATATATACTTTGTTGGGTCTGACATGAGTATTTCGAGGAGTTACAAACGGAATGACAAAGTTAATAGTATGGTTACTGGCTTCTAGAATATTTTTGCAAAATCAGAAATTACATATAAACCGAATGGGGTTCTCCGTTTAGACCAAACTTTGCACGTGACAACACATTCAGCTGTCGGCAAAACTGACTGATATGTTCTGTCTTTATTATTATCACATCCAGCTTTTTTACGGTGCAATGGAATGCATTTCCACTAAACAAAAAAAAAAAAACTTATTTTCGTAAAATTCAAAAATAGTAAGGGAAAATGCAGAAACTATTTATCAGAGTCTTTATCTTTCATCAGTGCATAGCTGGCCAATCATTGCAACGCCCGCAGTCTATTTTTCGGAATACAACAGCACTGTAGCGGTAGTTATTACGTAAAAGTTTTATGGGCAGCTTGTTTGCTTGATGAAATACGCTCCACTCGATGCAAGTAGTTTTACCTCTTAGCATTTGCGTTTTCTCAATGAAAAACCTAGGCGTTATTGCCAGAGTCAGACCCAAATACAATGTAATTACATTCTCGCCAGTTTTCAGTTACAAATACCTTCTATGGAATGTGAGTGTGTATGTATACGTATGATTGTTGTGGTGGTAGTTGCCACTTTTTTATAGCCGGTCTAATCAAAAGTCAACGGCTCAGCCTTATTTAGCTACGGCTGGACAACGGCATAGATTCACGTTTTTAGACTTGCCTCGCTGCTAAGCACTTGCTGCTGCTTTGTTGCTGTTACTGTTACTGTCGCTCGCTAATCAATCAACAACAATTCACCTACATATTATGCAGTTTATTATTTCTAGATTGTTAAAAATAAAAAGACCAGCAACAAAAAAACTAACACAGTCAATTAATGAAGATAATTATCGCTACGCTATTAGGGGTACTTAGTGTCATTATGTACGGGCATGAGATGCATGGAATTTTGATTGATTGGATGATTTTAGAACATAGAGAGAGAGTTTAACGTATTTTATGGGTTATAAGAATACGAAAGTACGAAAGAATATTGAAGAGATTTTAGAGTTAGAGTTTAATGTATGGAAAATCCGAAGCGTATAAGTGTTGACAGTACTGACAGGCCACAAGGCCTAATAGCATTATATATGCAGACTGAATATTGAACAAAATAAAATATTAGCATTAATTTTTATTGGGATAAATTCATTATCATAGTATTTTTGTGCTAAAATTCAGTCTGTGTGATTACTGCCTGCCAATCATTAAATAAAAATCAGATAGAGTCCACATTATTTATTCTAGAGCTTTAAAATTTGCAGAAAGGTTCATATTGCATGAAGGCTGTTTGGTATTGAATATAGGTTATATTGGTCAACGTTTTAGTATATATAATGTAACATCCAGATTTTTCGGTATTTTAAAGGTTTCTGCCACAATTTCCAACCAAATCAGCTGAAACTTGACATTTGTGATTTTTGAAAGGTCCCTTGTCACATTGCAAAAAATGTACGATTTAGGTCCACTAATTGGTATAGGCCCATATAACGGAACCTTCCGATTTAAGATATTTTGAAGTTTCCTGAACAAGTTATCGATTTAGCGATGTTCGTCCGTAGCTTCCAAACAAACTGAAGTAGGTTGATGATGATTTTACCCTGATATGTTTTAGGTCTTCAGGACTTTTGGTATTAAACATGAGCTATATGGGCCCACATTTTGGTATAGGCCCCATATAACGGTGTTTTGATGATTTGTGGCACAGTTTTCACCGAAATTGTTTTAAAAATTCGATATTTGGGTTTCGCAACAGGTACTACCTCCTATGATCTACGCTTTCATAAAGCCACTACAGACCTCCCACTACATACAGTATTTTGATGATTTTTTTAAAAACTTGGTATTTGGAGTTCGGTGTTTGCTCTCTGATATTCGATAATTTGATTCGATGTCACTGCTTTTTCTCTTGTTTATATAGAAATCAATGTACTCAGGCCTTGTTCTTAGAAAAAAAATTGCCTCAGTGTACTGAGGTCTTGACGATTTTTTTCTATAGACCTTTGAATACTCTCCACCATTTGTAGCGAATTTTTCAACGAAAAAAAAATAAATAAAATCCTTAAAAAATTCTGTTAAAATCTTAAAAATACGGAATGTAGCCGTTATATTAGGGTCTATACTACGATGTGGAACTGCATAGGTAACTTTTGTCATAAGCCTTTATAATATTCAAATGCGAAACTTGAAAAAAATCGCTGAATAATGTAGCAAAAATCATCAATATGCCGAATATCGGTAGGTACCGTTATATGGGGGCTATGCGATGACGTGGTCCTGTACAGACAATTTTCTGGCTTAGACTGTAGTATTAAAGTACCAAATTTGAAACAATTACGGTGAAAAATGTCGCTAAAATCATAAAAATACCGAATATCGGTAGGTACCGTTATACAGGGGCTATACGAAGACGTGGACCTGCACAGACAATTTTCTGTCATAGGCTGTAGTATCCTTTACGAACTTCAAATACCAAATTTGAAACATTTCCGATGTATAATGTCGCTTGCATCACCAAAATACCGAAAATAAAAAGGTACCATTGTATGGGGTCTATAAAAAACGTGGACCACCATGACCACCACATTTGAGTAAAATTTTATCAACCTACTTCATTTTGTTCGGAAGCTAGAATGATTTTCTCAGACGGACAGGCGGACAGACGGACGTACATCGATAAATGGACATAGAATTTTATGCTGATCAAGAATATATATACTTTCTGGGGTCTAAAATGTATTTTTCGAGGTGTTACAAACAAAATGAAAAACTAAATATACCCTCCATACTATGGTGGATGCTATAAAAATTGCCAACATTTAATTTCACTAAAGTACATTTTTCTGCGAAAAAAATGTAGACTGAAAGCTATAGAAGAAATAAGGTGTTTTATATGAAAACTATATATTTTCTGCAAATTCCAACTTCGTTCCATATATTCCCATAAAACCAAGAATATCTATTATGTCTAAGTACTCTGCATTCCGAAACTATTGGTTTTGCCCACCAACAAACATATTTAAGTGATTTGATATTAACCACATTGCAACAGGAAGGCATTTTTTATGGCAAGACAGGAAAATAATTACAAAAAATAAAAAATAACTAAAAATTATTTTTGTTTGACTTTTTCTTTTAATAATTTTTTATTATGACTTGCTGGTTTCTTTTACGATTCATTACGTTATGTTTACTGATTTTGTTGTCTCTCTCTTTCTTTTTCCTCATTGCAGGTCTATTGCAGTTCTCATGTACCAAAGAGTGGTCCAGGTCATTTGGATAACACATCGGTGGGCATACGCCAAGCCTTGAATGCACCACGCACCAATAAATTTGTAAACGAACAAATTCGGGGAACACGTACCGAGGTGGATGGTAAGTCCCCAGGGGGAATGAACTATGAAGCTACTAATTAATTGTTAATTTGTTGAGAAGCAGAAAAGAAAACAAAGCCATTTCATTAACCGTTAATTATTGTCTCCAGTTGTAATGAACACTGACTCAATGTTGTTTTTTCTCTTCTCTCCTCTCTTCTTCCATTTTTTAATGCAATTAAAGGAGGTTTCGGTTCACGTCAATCCACCCCAAATGGCTATGGCAGTCGTGAGGTTAGCTCACCATCACAAAATGAATCCGATTACAAATACGGCCGCTTCGATGCCAGCGCTCTGCACATTGCACACGCACTCAAACAGACTGAAATCCAAAAAGCCTACAACAAGGCGAGAGAAAAACCCATTGATTTCTATTTGGTAAGTGAAATTGATTTTTCCAGTTTTTCAGGTGAACGGCTTTTCCCCCTTTCCAGCCGCAGGCTCAAGCTGTGAAGGGGGGGGGGGGGGGGGGGGTAAAGAATTAATGTGATCTCATGTCCGCTGTCATCTTCAATGCAGCCGATGACGATGTGGTTTAAAAACGCACAAAAACAAGTTTGGTTCTTAAGTCTTTTCTTTGCCAGGTTTTACTTTTTATGGGTGAAATGAAATCAATGAATGAATGAATTGCAGAAAAGAGAAAATATTCTTTATTTCGAAAGTTGACAAGCAAAAAGAAGAATATTTTCACTTGTGGAAAAAAAAAGAAAAAACGGGTATATTCGTGGTTCCTGGTGGAAAACCTGCAAGCAACAATAACATGCTTAGGAATATTTTTTTTATTCTCAACAAATTAAATTTTGAAATATTTAATTTCATGTAAATATTTTCACAAAATGCCGCAGCATGTGTAAATTACCACATGTTGTATCAATTCGATCGCAACATTTATTTAGGCCAACAAATTGTCTTTTAAAGTTTACAAAACACGAAGATAAATGGGCATTTAATGGAATCCAGTTTACAAAATTTCCAAGCCAATGCACATGAGTTTCAAATGTGTCTGGATAACACAGTACCCTACACACCTCACAATGAGAAACATAAAGATCTGGAAGAAAACTCCAATTTACAGAAACATTTTATTTTTGAAAAAAAAAAACCCACCAGTAAATGGTTCTATAAAAACCACATCGATCCCCAGTTATTGGGGAATTTTTCCTGAAGGGAGAAAATCTGTCCGTAGTTATTGAGAATATTTTTCCTAAAGGGAAAAATCGATCATCAGTTATTGGGGATTTTTTTTCCTATGGGGAAAGAATCAATCCTCAGTTATTTGGAATTTTTCCCTATAGGGAAAAAATCGATCTTCAGTTATTGAGGATTTTTCCGATCTCTAGTTATTGGGCGTTTTCCCTATAGTAAATGGTTCTATAAAAACCACATCGATCCCCAGTTATTGGGGAATTTTTCGTAAAGGGAGAAAATCGATCCGCAGTTATTGAGAATATTTTCCTAAAGAGAAAAATCGATCCTCGGTTATTGGGGATTTTTTTCCTATAGGAAAAGAATCAATCCTCAGTTATTGGTGATTCGATCCTCAGTTATTGGGAATTTTTCCCTATAGGAAAAAAATCGATCTTCAGTTATTGGGGATTTTTCCGATCTCTAGTTATTGGGCGTTTTCCCTATAGTAAATGGTTCTATAAAAACCACATCGATCCCCAGTTATTGGGGAATTTTTCCTAAAGGGAGAAAATCGATCCGCAGTTATTGAGAATATTTTCCTAAAGAGAAAAATCGATCCTCAGTTATTGGGGTTTTTTCCTATAGGGAAAGAATCAATCCTCATTTATTGGTGATTCGATCCTCAGTTATTGGGAATTTTTCCCTATAGGGAAAAAATCGATCTTCAGTTATTGGGGATTTTTCCGATCTCTAGTTATTGGGCGTTTTCCCTATAGGAAAAAAATCGATGCCCAGTTATGGGAGATTCTTTTCTATAGGGAAAAAATCGATCACATGTTATTTGGATTATTTTTCTGTATCCCTAGATATGGGGGATTTTTTTTTTCTATTGAACAAAAAAAACCAGTAACAGGGGTCGACATTTTTTTTCTTTTTTTTTTTTGTGGAAAAAAACCTCAATAACTGTGGGTCGAGATTTATTTCTATGGAAAAAAAATCCCCAATAACTGGGATCGAGATCTTTTCTATGGGAAAAAATCCCCAATAACTGGGGATCGAGCATTTTTTCCATGGAAAAAATTCCCCATAACTTGGAACCGAGATTTTTTTTCTATGGAAAAATTTCCCATAACTTGGGATAATAACTGAGGATCGAGAAAAATAATCCTAATAAAAGGTGGTCGATCTTCTTACCTTTGGGAAAAAAATCCCCAAATTCCATAGAAAAACATCTTGATCCTCAGTTATTGGCGATTTTAATTTTCATAATAAAATCGATCCCAAGTTATTGGAGATTTTTTTCTATAGGAAACATCTCGAAACCCAGTTATGGGGGATTTTTTTCTATGGGAAAAATCTCGAACTCCTGTTACTGGAGTTTTTTTTTTCTATAAAAAAAATTGATCTCCTATTTTTGGGGATTTTTTTCCCATAGAAAAAATCTATCCCCAGTAATTAAATATTTTTTCCCATAGAAATAAATCGATTCCCAGTTATTGGAGACAAATACAATCCCCCATTTACTGGTATTTTTTTATAGAAAAAATCTCGTCCGCCAGTTACTGGTGATTTTTTATAGCAAAAAATCTAATTTTCTATATAATTCCCTTTTACATATAATTTTTCCAGTTATTTCTTCAAGACCGATTTTATGGACACAAATGCTGAAAATTCCAAATCCGTAACGGCATATGATTGTAATAAATTTGCACAACTTTTTTTAAATGCAATACGTAACTTAAAGACCGTAGCACATGCGTAAAAATATTTGCTATAACTAACCCAAAGGAAATTCAAATCTTAGATATGTTGGTGTGTGTGCGGGACAAAATATGGGCACATTTATTTCCAGTGAATTTAGGAGTAGGCATGTTTTGGAATTTAAATAAAAATATAGCCAACATTAAATATACAAATGCTATGACATAAATATTATTTGTATCTCTTGTCAGATAAAACACCTGGGTTTTTGTTTTCTGTCAAACAAAAGACTTAAGCGACAAACGTTAAGTGGAGTGATAATTTTATTCTTTTAATATTTTTAATTTAGTTTTATGTTTTTAAAATATTATTTTTTTTTTTTGCTTTTTAAATTAAAATACAAGACAAAATCTATGATAATTACCATCCATCCACAAAAACTTAAAAATTGTGCTAACAAGAAACAAGCAGCACCGAACCCAGACTTGTTATAAATTAACGCAATCTTCAGATAAATACCTGTGAAAATCCAGACCTCAAATAATGATGGATGGGAAACCTTCATCCAACTATTTTGCCCCTCTGCGAGAGATGTGTATGAATAACGGGTCTCTCACGCACTCTGTGTGGATGGAAGGCAGGCAATCTATTTCTGGGAAAAAAGTTTTCCATTAATTATTTGATGCAACATAAGTAATGTTACTTTTGAGTTGAACAGTGGAACACAGATAAAATGAGCGCTTTGCGAACGATTTTTTATTTTTCAACTAGGGTTTTCATTTTTTCAACCAAATTATATATTTTCTTTATAAACTGCTTCAAGGCCTTGCCATAACTTTTTCGTATTCTATTTTCAATTCTTCGACATCGAATGCAGTCTTTATGTTTACCATAGAACACACAAATAATAAAATCTTTTGGTTTTCTAAACAAAACATTTGTTGTAACATTGTGTTAATGTTATAAATTAACAAAATAATTAGTGCAGAACATCCGATAGATTTACAACTAAAATGAAGAATCATCAACATCATTGCCTTTGCCTGTTAGGCAGTTAGCCACTTGGGCAGTTAGCAGCGTTACGGCAGGCATGGCTGAAAACGTATTTAGCCAAAAGTGTCTTATTAACAAAAATAAAGAAAACTTAAAGCGTCTTTTTTGTTGACCAGCAAAAAGTAAAAATGGCTACAAAGAACCATAACAGACACACAACTTTATGCACACATATTTTCAAATGATTACACATGTAATATATACTGACCATTGTTCAGTGTTCATAACATTGTAACATTTAATGGCTAATTGCATGTTAGGAAACCTAACAATGTTACGGAAGAATTTTCAAGACGACTGAACAAGAATCAGTAAGAAAAGATTATCAAAATTAAAATATAGTATGGAGGGTACATTAAGTTTGTCATTCCGTTTGTAACACCTCGAAATATACATTTTAGACCGAACAAAGTATATATATTCTTGATCAGCATAAAATTCTATATCGATTTGGCAATGTCCGTACGTCTATCCGTCTGTGGAAATCACTCTAGCTTCCGAACGAAATGAAGTAAGTTGATAAAAATTTACTCAAATGTGTATTATGTCTGCAGGACTTTTGGTATTGAAAATGGGCCATGTAGGTCCACTTTTCCTATAGCCCCCATAAAACGGTACCCCCCGATATTCAGTATTTTAATGATTTTGGCGACATTATTTACCGGAATTGTTTCAAATTTGGTATTTAAAGTTTGTAATGAATACTACAGCATAAGACAGAAAATGGGTCATGTAGGTCCACGTCTTCGTATAGACCCCACATAACGGTACCCCCCGATATTCCGTGTTTTAATGATTTAAGCGACATTATTTGCCGGAATTGTTTCAAATTTGGTATTTAAAGTTTGTAATGGATACTACAGCCTAAAACAGAAAATTTTCTGTGCGGATCCACGTTTTCGTATAGCTTCCATATAACGGATCCTCTGATATTGGGTATTTTGATGATTTTAGATACATTATTTACCCGAACTATTTCAACTTTGGTACTTGAAGTTCGTAATGAATACTACGGCCTATGACAGAAAATTGTCTGTGCAGGTGCACGTCTTCGTATAGCCCCGATATAACGGTACCCCCCATATTCGGTATTTTGATGATTTTAGCGATATTATCTACCGGAGTTATTTCAAATTTTGTATTTGAAGTTCGTGATGGATACTACAGCCTATGCCAGAAAATTGTCTGTGCAAGTACAAGTCTTCATAAAGCCCCCATATGACGGTACCCTCCATATTCCGTGTTTTGATGATTTTAGTGACATTATCTACCGGAGTTATTTCAAATTTTGTATATGAAGTTCGTAATGGATACTACAGCCTATGCCAGAAAATTGTCTGTGCAGGTCCACGTTTTATAACCCCCATAGTACCTGACTATATCCGGTATTTTGATGATTTTAGCTCATTACAAACAGATTTTTTTTTTCAAGTTTCGCACTTAAATATTGTAATAGCTTATGACAAATGTTGCCTATGCAGGTCCACGTCGTCGTA